CGCTGCATCCTCCGAGTCCGTACAAAATTCTCCTAGGAGCTCACCCGCCCCCTGAGTTGAGTTTTGCGGAAAACGCGCGATAAATTTGATTTTATTCCGTCCGACATCCCGCCACCTTCCTTGCGGCCCCTCGCGCGTGGCTTTCACGCCCGGTAATCTGCCGTTGATTCGATGTTCCCGTTACACGTACGCCGTACCGACTATTCTCGCGTTTCCACGCTACGAGCTCGCTGCTGGCATTCGTACACGTCACGTGCCGGCGATATAATAACGAGGTGGGTAACATAACGAGGCTTACATGCCTCGAATTCGCCCCGGTCGGCTCTCTCCGCGCCCGATTCGCGTCCGATTTTGTGTCCTCCTCTTACCTCTCCTCTCCTTCCTTTTCTCTCTTTCTTCATAATTCTCCACCGTCTTCTTCTTTATCTCCGATAATTCGTCTGCCGAAGGATACCCCCGGGGATACCGCCGCGCCGCGGGCACGAACAGAAACACCCCCGCCTACTTCGCTCCTGCGACTATGTCCGCCCGAAGACGGTGTCGTCTTCGACGCGATATTTAAGTGGATCGAGAGCGGCGAAGAGAAGCGAAATGTTGCGCGAATAAAGTACACGGCACGTGAAGAAAATCGTTGTAAATGCCGGAAATAAATTTCCCCGTCGCTTGCGGCGGTCGCGCCATTCTTCTCGTTTGGCGACACAATCGAATCATTCCATGTGTTTCCCCGACGGAGTTCTCCGTCGGGAGTGCAGCGCGGAGCTTGGAGGAGACTCGGCTATCGCGCGCGCTCGCTTTCCTCGCTTAATTTTTCATATCGCGATCACGAGGGGGCACACGCACGCCGGCAGCAGGAGCCTGTAAATCTTCCGACGAGCCTCTTCGTTTCGCCGCTTTTAATTCGTTCGGGAGCATACGGGGGTTAAGGATCCGCGGCTCGTCGTGGCGAATCGATCCTCCACGAGAACAGATTCGCCAACCGGCACCGCGATCATCCCTCCCCGTGTACACACACGGAGGTTGCATGGATATCACGGGGAACATATGTGCCGACCCCCAGGATACGCAACGCGGCCGTCGACTTCACAGGATACATATCGCGCGGGCCACCTGCTACGCAGCGAGCGTTCTACTCGAGGTTTATATCGAGGATTCGTTTCGCTTCCCCGCTCGAAAAATCGTTAATTGTGTGATCTCGGATGGCTATTCGCTTCGGCGAAGGCCACTTTCGTCGAAGCAACGAAAAGAATCCGTCCGCCGATCGGCGAAAAAACAATGCGGCAAGAGGGGCCGTGTATTCTTCGGAATCACGCCTGTCGAACAAAAGTCACCCTCCGTAACGTTTTACTTCGTCGAATTACTTCACAATGGACAACGCGACCCCTTTCGACCCGTTCTCTCCCCCTCGCGCTTTTCTCTCTCCTCCCGTACACAAAACATAATTATCTGAAATCCCAAACAGCATGAAAATTTGATCGCCGCTCCCTTCCTCCTCGCCCTTCCCCGTCGCCGACAGACGCGGCCCATTAAAACACATCGGGCGACGATTAATGTTTACGTAACGAAGGGCAACGCAGATCCCCGCTTTTAAATTTCTTCCTGAAATTCTTTTGAATTTCGCGACCCTCCCACCAACGAGACGAGATTCCGTCGAGCGATAGCGCTTTCGTACCGTTTGCGTCACGCTAAGCTTTGCCCCTCGAATGTCGTTCCTCCTCATTATCTCTCTCTCTCTCTCTCTCTCTCTCTCTCTCTCTCTCTCTCTCTCTCTCTCTCTCCCCCCTCCCTCCCTCCCTCCCTCTCTCCCTCTCCCCTCCCCCTCCCTCCCTCTCTCTCTCCCTCCCTCTCTCTCCCTCCCTCCCTCCCTCCCTCTCTCCCTCCCTCACTCTCTCTCTTTCCTTCTCTACCTTTTCGTTTCCCTCTCTCTCTCTCTCTCTCTCTTGGAATAATTCGTCGAAATTCTCTTGAATCAAAGCTTATCACGTTACAACGCAACGAGAGGAGTTTGTTACGCGACGTAGCCGTGTTAACAAGAGTAACACGCGCATGAAAAGGGCACGATGCTATCTTATCGGCACACTCGGAAATAAATACCTTACTTGCTTCGCTTTGTATCCGTGCACGCACACGTGGGTGTGTACATGTGTGTGTGTGTGTGTGTGTGCGAAGGGAGTCCCACCCACACGCGCAATAATATCCGATGGAAAATTACGCGGAGCGGGCGCGCGTGTGACTCTCGATTTCTGTGTCTCCGCGCGAACCTCCTTACGTGCTGCGCTTTCCGCTGTTTTGTAAGCGGCACGATAAAAGTTGATCGCGTGCCCTCGTATGAGAAAGAGACACACGTATGCATGCACGCATATCGAGAAAGAGAGGAAAAAGGAGATACAGGGCCCGCTACTTTAACGCGTGAGCACGTCCCTTTAAACGCACTCCGGCTCGTCGCGCACACACACGTCGAGGTAATCGCCGAGAGAGATGCACGAGCCGCGATAGGAACCGCCTCGAAACGGCAGTTAAAGTCGATTGTACCGTGACATCAGTGCTGGCTGGGCGGCATGAAATATTTACACTACCGTGACGATTACCACGTCACGTAAGCGCGGACGAGAGAGAGCGACGATGATTACATTTACCTTTGCCGGCCGCGGGAGAGGGCGCGGGAAAACGGGAGAGAGAATCGTTCGCTGCCATCAGTTAACAATGTCCGTTACATCGGCGAGATATTAGCGTCGCCGTGCGAGTCGCGAGGCGCAGCTCGTCGTCACGTCGGGAAATCCACGGGAAAATTCTCGACGAAATTCCACGACGTACGCTCGCGTTCGTTCGGCTCGACAGCGACGTGGCAACCCCTTTAATCGCGCCGATTCCGGCGATTCCAGATCGAGTTCCAGACGACAGCAGTCTGTGCTTCGCCTTCAGTCTGTGCGTTTCCCTCGCGATCTCTTCTCCAATTAAGTCATGGCTTTCGTCACAACGCGATTAGCGTACGTTATTGTTGAATTTATCACACGTACGTACGTGTTTTGCTACCAATTCGATTTCAGCAACATGTCCGTATGTCCGAAAGAGAGAGGGGGCAGAGACTTCTGATATTCGAAATACATTTTCTCATCTTCATTAAATATGGCGCAGCATAGCTAGTTCGAGAAATTTCGTCTCGAAGAGTCCCGCGCAAATAAATGCAAAGCGTTTATTTGCGCGATCAACTTCTTCTTCCATCGTATTTTCCTCTCGCGGACGTCGGGCGCGACGGGCGCGCGCGGCGATTACGAACCGCTCCGTTTTCCCGGAGGATAGGCAGGAGCGGGAAGGAGCGGGTAACTCGTGCAAAGCGTGTATAACTTATATGAAGTTGACGTCGTGGCGAGTGCACGACGGGTGCTAGACGCTCGTCGTTTCCTATTCCGTAACGCGTTTAGCCTAACGAGTACCGGCGTGCGTGTTATTATGCGGCAAGCACGGCCGCGCACAGTGGTATCGTTAAAAATGCATCCTCGCGTGTTCCTTCCCGCCTCCACGCTTCCTGTCCTTTTTTCACGCCTGCCCGCCCGGACGCACGCACGGTGAGCACACAAGCACAAAATCGGTGAGCCGCGACATATGCTGATTTTTAAATAACGTCCCTCGCCCGACCCAGAGGTGACCCGCGGCGAATCGCTGTAAACAACATCACGGCTGCGAGGACGCTCGCGCCGTGAAAATTCGCGCTTAGTGCGCGCGCGTGCGCGCGCGCGAAAGAGCGACGTTCTCGCGTAAGCTGATCGTCGCGTTGTTACAGTTGCTGCTTGACATTCTCGCGGCTCGTAGATTTGTCCTCCTCCGAGAGGGTCGATCCCCGAGCTCCACTCCGAGCGCGGCGATCGCAGCGAAAAGTCAGGCGGAATCTCATAGTACGTTCATAGTAATACTAAATATCGCGCGTATAACGAGCGACGCCGTTTCCGGGGCTCCCCGGGGGCCGGTAATCTCCCTTCCTTGGACATTAAAACGGTAAACGCGCGATTCCGTGACTTTTTAATCGTCCAACCAGGTCAGCGCGGCCGACGAAGCGACCGCTCGTTCCGTTTCCGCTCGTGCGAGCGAGTCAAGTCGAGTCGAGTCGAGTCGAGTCGAATCGAGTGAATAATTCACCTCGATCGATCGCTCGCTCGCTCGCTCGCTCGCTCGCTCGTTGGCCGGCCGGCCAGCACGCTCGGCGGAATTAATTTAAGTAATTTGACGATCGCTATCGACGGAAGCATTAAATAAAGCACCGTGTCCCGCTTTGGGCGAACCGCGCGTTTAGATTGTTACATAGATCGGCGGGTCGCCCTCGCGCTCGCCGCGCTCGCCGCGTTCTTCCCGCGGCCATCGTTGCATACCTGAGTGGTTGATCAGGATGAGTGGGTCGTCATCCATTTCCACGGCTGTCATTACGTCAAGGAGCCGCGACATATCGCGGCTGTTTGCCAACGACCTGTCTCGCTCCCGTTACGTCCGCTCGCTTGCGCGACCTGTCACGCGCCACGAAAATGACGATTCCCGCTGTTTTCAGACGAGCGCTTTCGCGACGACTTAAGCGCCGACGATATTATTGTATCACGGGTCAGCCTCTCTCGTCTCGCCCCGTTTCGTCACGCGCGTCACGAGCTCATGGCTGACCAAAGGTCGACTGAACTCCTTAACGTCGAACGCAGGGCACGCATCGCGCCGCGAAAAGGAAGCGGGAAGAAGTAACATATAGGACGGTTTTGTGAAAAGTCATCATTTCCCCTCTCCCCTTCCTCCCGCGGGAATTCGAGCAGCGGAAAGATCTGCCGAAATAAAAACTTGCCGGAATTTTAGAAGCACGCAATTGTTCCGCAAAGTTCCAACGCCGGAAGTAATACAAAGCGCTCTTCAAGTTCGAAACTATCATCGAAATGTTATCGCGGTTATCGCCGTTAATTGGACGGTGTAACGAGAACGCAACTAACAGCGATTTCACTCGGCACTCACACACAACTGAATATTCGTTACAGGAGCGGGAGGCGGAGAAGATCGCGGAGGAAGCCGCGGCTCTGCGCGACGTGAAGACGGAACTGCCGCCTGCAAGAAGTCCGGAGAGCTGGCACGGCAACCCTTATTATCGACATCTCAATGTTCTCAAGGGTGAGCGAGAGATATCGCGCGAGTTAGCCTGTAGACGAAGAGAGCGATCGATGACGAGAAACCTCGTCGTCGGATCGAAGCGCCGCGAATAGCACAAAGGGCTCAAAGCACACTGCTGACGAAGCCGAGTCGATAATTAATCCCATTAAAAAGTCCTCGCGACTCGAAGAAATCCTTGAATTCTCTCCTTCCCTTTCTCTCTTCCTCTCTTAAAACTTCGCGTCACGGCTGAAGACGGAGTGTCGCGCGCTTGCCAGCTCAGAGCGAGCTGGATGAAACAATTCCTGACATTTTCCGGCGCAGGGAGGACGACGCTGTCGCTCGAGACGTCGTTTGGAGCGACGTTTTTTTCGCGATGTCGTTTGGGTGCAGCCTCTCCTCGAGTCGTTATCGAAATGGGAAATCGTCTTGAGAACAACACTTCCGCGATTGCAGCTTCACGCTGCCGCGAAATTTCACGCGCTATTTTGCGCTCGTCTGCGAGAGTCAAGTTTAAAGCGACGGCTGACAACACTCGTCCTGACTCGTTCCGCTGATATTAGTAATTAATTAGTAACCGCCATGGATCAAGCGGAGAAGATCGGAGTTCCAATTAATTAGAGTAATTAGTCGCGACCGGAGTGTTAAATGGAAACGGAGGGTTGCCTTGATATCAGGCCGGGGAGGGATGGATCTTTCAGGCTGTAATAACGCGGAAATGGTTTGCGGGTGGCCTCGACCAGCCAAGGGGCGTGATTTTCGCCGACGCTTGCGCGTACCCTGTCTCCACGCTGGCCGACGTCGAGTTCCGTCGTCGTGACTCGCGAACGCGCCATACGACACGATGCGACGCGTCACCGTGTGTGCATGCGTGCGTGTGTGCGCGTACGTTTGGTATGTGTGTGTGTGTGTGTGTGTGTGTGTGTGTCCGTCGTGTTTTCTTCTAATTTCCATTAACGGCAGCCGACGCGGCGAGTGGCTATTACTCAGCAGGCGGATAGATACGGACGGGATAAATTAAAGATCGTTCCTACATATATTAACGTTAATTAAAAAACGCTTCCCGACTGATGAATTCTCAGAATTTTCGTCAACCGCGTCGACGTCGAATTTGACTTGATCGAATGAATTAGCCGCTGAAGCCGCTCGCGAGGGATTGCGCTCGTCGAGAATGACGAGCGCAACGATGCGACAAGGAAAAAACACGTCAATTAGAAAATATTTCATGAATGATAAATCCTCCGAATTTTCGTCGGCGTGTTTTCCCGGTCTCCGCGGACTCCGGCGAGGCGGACTTCTCGAGTGAGCGAATTTTTCGCTGGAACGTGTTCGCGAAGTATTCTCCACGTTGATAACGACGAGCACGGCGCGCGATGATACGACACGTACGAGTACGGGGAGAAAACACGTCAATTAGAAAATATTTTATGAATAATAAATCCTCCGAATTTTCGTCGGCGTGTTTGCCCGGTCTCCGCGGACTCCGACGAGGCGGACTTCTCGAGTGAGCGATTTTTTCGCTGGAACGTGCTCGCGAAGTATTCTCCTCGTTGATAACGACAAGCACGATACGCGGCGACACACATGTAAGCACAGAGAGCACGCTCGCAAATACAGCGCGCGTATTCAGCACACGAGACGCTCGCACCCGAGTAACCCTTATACGCATATCCACGCATATACACACCTACTACACACACACGCGTAGGCACGAATATCACCCGGTATATCGATGGCTCCGTCCATTCAACGCGAGCGTAAGCCGAAAATAACGAGATAGGTGCTGCATCGGCGCGATGAATACGAATACAGGATCATTGGCGGTGAACGCCAGGCACTTTGACTAACGTACAGCCCTCGGAAAAAGAGTCGTTTTCCCGACCTCCTTCTTTCCCGTCCTCTCGTTCCGCGGGGGCGAAGCGATCGCGCGATCCTTTCAGACGGACTCTTTTGAGTCGTCCTCGCGCGCGAGAGATCGAGGTCCCCCGTCTCCCGATTCAGTGAAACGACGCGTTCGCGAGTTAAACGGACAGAGAGACTAATTAGCACGTGTCCGTTTTCGTTTCGTCAGTTTTATTTTTTGCCTTGGTAAAATGTCGAACGCGCGACTGCCTAGCTGATAGCTTCTCTGACCATTGGCTTCCGCCCTCTTGAAATTTCTTGAAGTGGAACTCACTCAAAGTGAGTAGAGCGAAGTATCCGCTCTGAGTCATCGAGAGTGAACGAAGCCGAATTCAAACCGAAGAGCGACTTCGATGATAAAGGAAGCATGTACTGTCGATTACAGAGCAAGGAGGTTGTACTAATATTCCATAAAACCGTATTGAAACCAAGTGCATGCGTGCTTCTTTCAGTATTTCATATATGTCATCGCGCTCCGCTGCGCTCGCAGGAGTAATTTCACTCTGATCGATTGAAACGTTCGCTCGCACGTGGAGCAAAAATCCCAGCCGAGCATCAGGAGATCGGAAAATCAGAATCAGCTCGAGAATCAGCTCCAGTGAGGACTCTGCTCCTCGCGATTCGGAGTGACGGTATTTTCGTAATCTCGTCGAATGAATTTTCTCGCTCTCGTTCTCGAGTGAGACCTCACACTCCGAGAAATTTAGAGAGAGTATTTACGCTCGAGATTACGCGGGATTCGGCGAGAGCGAGTTCGCGACACGCGAGAAAAATGACGACACCTGGCAGTGGATTAATTTTACACGCATAAAGAGACGCGCGCTCGGCGCGCGGCTAGCTCGACTCCGCTAATTACCGGACGATAATTATTGCAGGAAACGAGCCGGCAGCGGAAAGGGCGGGTTCCGATTGCTCGGCTTGTCGTCCACGTATGTTTTACGGCCAAGTCCACAGTCCGTCCGCGCCGACCAATTAATCGAGCTGGCTGGATTAATCGACACGCAGCGCAGCGCAGCAGCAGCGCATGAGGAGGACACATTTAATCCGTATCGTTCCGTAAGCTTGCGACACGTCCGTTGCCTTTCGTCGCACATTCGTCGATCTTTCTTTGTCTGCGAATCCAAGGCTTCAGCGCAACGATGGTCTCGCCCGATTTTCTAAGGACTCGAGGAGCGAGCTCCTCCCGGCTTCGACGAGACTTTTTTCGAGGAATCCAGCGCAAATTGACTTACCCGATCGGCCGATCGAGCTGAAACCGAGAGAGTCGAATCAATCGAACCTGATGTATAAGCACCGATCTGTAGTTGTAAAGCCCATGTCCGCAGAATGCTGATCTGTCACTAGCGAATGTTAGGAAATGTTTCGTCTCGCGCGTTCCCGACGCACTGGCTAACAAAGCGGACCTCATCACATCCTACATCCGGGTCGTCGTCGAGAGTGGCGGATTTCTCCGGCATCTCGAGCAGTGGATCTTAGTTTTAGCGAACGTGTCTCGTCTTTGCGTGCGCGGCCGCGCGAGCGAGCGAGCGAGCGAGCGAGCGAGCGAGTGAGCGATCGATCATCAGCTCGAATCGAACGGTGCTCGGCGAGAAGAATCTTGGCGAATGTAGAACGAGCGGCTCGGCGAAGTCACGTATTACGTCGACGCAGGAGGAAGGTCACGTCGATATTTGCGATTCCGGAGATCCCGTCGCGCGAATTCGCTGCTCATCCGCTTTCCGCATTACGTCGATTGTTGTCATTTTCTAGCGGACTACTCGCGGCGCGGTGCGAGCGGACGGACGAGCGCGGACAGACGAAAACGCTTGTCGCTATCTCGCGGGAACGCACGATTCGCGTTTCCGATTGTTTTCTCCGGCGTGGAAAACAGACGAGGAACTGTCTGTACTCCTCCTGTTCCTGAACATCGCGTTTCTCGGCTCCCATTTCCTTCTTGGGTCGACTTCGCGCGATGCGACAGAAACCAGTATTCGGGGAACCAGTATCGGTCGCGAATGTTGGGCCGATATAAACATTCGCGCACGCAAAAATCAAGGAATAATTAGAAAATTCAATTGTGGCGAACGCCACATTGGCGCCAACGTGGCGTCGACGTGCGCTTGCCACATCGCGTGGTGCCGGTTTTAACTCTTCCCAGCGCGATCATCGTGACAATGAACGAACGAGTGACAGTTCTGAGAAACAAAGGTCCTTGTCTCAAAACGCGTTTGATTCGTTCATTATCACATCGACCCCCCGACCTTTCGCTCCGTGTAATAAACCAGGTCAGCGAAAAGCATCGCGGCAACTGTGTCACCGAGCAAGCTGGAGAGAGTTAATGAGACAGACTGGCGAGACACGCGTCGTGCTTGCGAGCATTATCTAGATACCTGTTCGCGATGACTCCCGATGCACTCCCGATAATCGGTGCACCAGGAGCGACGCGCGATCGACACGCGTCCGTGACGAACTTGATATATTATGCGCCGACTCGCAGCGATTTCACCGAGAGATTCGGTCGCGACACCGCCACCGTCACCGTCGTGGTCGCCGCGCCGCAATCGCGATTCGCCAGCAGCCAGTGTAGCTTAGGATCGACGGTCATTTATCGCGAGGACGATACACAGTGCAATTATACTTAATTACGTCGCGTAATCGAATTAGACCAGGAATTATACAGAGGAGACACGACGACGAGAGTCGAAGTAGGACGAGCGGATCCTTCGCGCGCCTCACGTCGTATTGCCGCAGCACTGTAAGTACCGCCGCTAGAGTAGAGCAACAACACCGACAAGAGTTGCATCATACTGAACATACTGTAGACGACAGCATGTGTGAAAACAAAAATTACGAGTGTAATCCAAGTTCTAATAAAATCTTGATCGCTGGAAAGATACCTTGCGTCGGTAAAATCACCCCCGTCGTCCCGTTGAACTCGTGTGTGGGCCGGTTGCTCCAACTTCTTGGTAAGTTAACTGATAGTTAAAGCATATGTTTATCATTGTTTCTCTTTCGATTTGAGCAAAGACAGACACATGATGATGACTGTCAGTTAACTTACCAAGGACTTGGAACAACTTGCCCTGTGAAGGTCAATCAACGAAGGGGAACTATTCATCCACCTGCGCCGATATATCGGAGTCGACTTATATCTTCAGATTAACATCGATTTCATCGCGTGAGTCGTATTTCGATTCAAAAAATTCCGGAAAAATTCCAAAAAAAGGAATCATATTAATTAAGAGTCCGTGCAACGGAATAAGAATGATTTTCCTTTCGAAAGTATCGCGAAGGACTCGCATCGGCACAACGCGAAGGAGTTGTGCATCAACTCGGTGATCAAGACCGGGGTACGTTATCAGCGGCGCGACATTGTCGCAGACCCCGCACGTGTCTGGGAGGAACAAATCTTTTTCAATTACTGGAGGAAACTGCCGTGCGGTAGGATGTGCCGCGCGATGTAATCCCGCTCGTCGCTTATACATCCCGGCCGGCGGAAAATCCTTGGGGAACCCTCCCGAGTGGTACGTAAGGACGCTCCAGTGAACAAAAACCCTTAACTGATACAGCCCTGCGGTCCCCGGGCGGTCGTCAGCAGAATTTCGGATTTCGACCACACACATGGTACTCTTACGCTCTCGAGAGTATCGTTCTCGCGAACGAACGGATATGTCTTTCCCGACGCATGATCGACGAGTAAGTTGCAAGCCCGGTGAAGACAAGGTCGGGGCGGAAGACGCGAGTCACGTGATAGATAATAATTGCAATAAATCACGTGATATTTCAACTATCCTTGATTTACGTCAGCTTACATCAGCCGAAATTGCCCTTCATTTGGTTGAACAAAGAAAGGAGTTTCCGTATCTCGTAGTCTCGCTTGAGAAAGAAATTATGCTTGATGCAATAGGAGACGAAACATCAACGTTGATAATGGTGAAGGGGCGAGGGGGACAAGGCGGGTGGGGTTGCGGCAAGAGGGTGTCAATAATGGACGCCCGTAGGAGAAACATCGTCTGCGTCTAATGTTCCGGCAAATTGGTTTCGCGAATGTAGCGTCGGCCGCCTCCCGAGAGGAATCTGCAAGTACGAGCGGGATTTCTCGTTGCGCCGATTTTTTTCCCGTAAGTACGTCACGTCTCGACGATACCGGGTATATACATCTATGCGCTTCATCGGAATCGAGTTCCGCGGGTCGCTAGCCAAGCCCGTAACCGAAGGAATTTATAAGGAGTGGAAAGTGAATGTAACATGTATAGCTGAAAGCGCGGAGTATTCCTTCGTGAATTATAGTAAGTCAAAAGGTTCGACGTAAGGATACCGAAATACTATAGTCGCATCGAGATATTTTGTCACTCCACCAACTAATAAAATAATAGAAGAAGAAAAATATGCATGCACATAATATATACGACATATGTAATAAAAGATATGTAACAGCATATAAATGTTACTAAGCTCAGCATTAAAATACATAAACGTGCAATCAGAGTCCGGGAGAAGGAGAGGGAAAAGAGAGAGAGAGAGAGAGAGAGAGAGAGAGAGAGAGAGAGAGAGAGAGAAGAGGGATTGTCCAAGAGCATTGTGAATCGATTCGTTCCGCGCACTTCTGCGCGTTCCCATCCCGCGCGAAGGTCGTGTATAACGAGCCACGATTTAAATACGCGCTCCAATCGTCCACAATGGAGACGTCGGGGCGCGTATTTAAAGAAACATTTTAATTGCAGGTCGTAAGCCGCTTACGTGTCCCCTTTCTCATACGTTAATAAAAAACAGCCCTACCCGTGTATTTTAAGAAAGCGGCCGAGCTGCTCACATTGTGAGCTCAGCGCGGCAAGTAATTCGACCTGTTTCGCCTGGCCAAAAATTGCGCTCGGTTCCCTTCGCTTCGAGCATAAGGGAGGAATAACTATTTTCTAATTTGTCTTCGATTTACGATCGGCGTGCAATGCGATCGCCAAGAACTCCCTGTTAGCGCATTGTTTCGACAGGGTTTCAATAATCGGCCGGGAGATATTCCTCCAGCAAGAAATATCATTTTTCCATCGGTTGCGATCTCCACGTCCCAACCCTCCATACTAAAGAACTATGCGCTCTCTTTCTCTCTCTCTCTCTCTCTCTCTCTCTCTCTCTCTCCCTCCCATCCTAACCTCCCGTGGGGCATCGATTTAAGTTTTCTGTGGTAACCGTCGTGGCTGTCGACGGGCCGGCTGTGAAGAAGGAACGTATAAAGAAGCGGCGCCTCTGTAATTGGGCATCAAAAGACGATATTTCGCCGTGTTCGCGCCGACGAATGACGGAACGGGGAAAGAGAAGTGGCAAGATTCGCAGTGCAGGCTCGCTCTGGTGGACCGGTCGGATACCACATAACTGAACGACGGGGCGGGGGAGGGGGGGCCGGCTCTTTACGAGGGTTGGTTCTACCCCGAATGATGATGGTATGCCTTGTTACCGCGGCCACGACGCCGAGAAGAGAATCGCGCTCCCCCGGGTAATATCGCATACAATTATGTCCACAGAAGAGAAGACACACATGCATTATAGATGCGGGGTTGTCCCCACCCCTGTCTCGATATACATACCGCCCCCGGTAAATCATGTCACAAGGTTGGTTAACTCTGCAAATGATCTGAGGCGTTATACGCCTCGTCGGCCTTCCAATCTTTCTCTTGTTATTTGTTTCTCGGTTTCACGCTTAGATATTTTACAATATTAACACTTTCACGAATGTTTTAATATTTTTTGTGAATAGGTTTAGAGAATCGAGCATATCCGTGGAAAAATATAAAAGTTCCTTCTCATATATTATGCTCCGGACACTATATAACGCGCTTTCGCGTATTGTTATTTACTCTTCCTTGTCAGAAATCGATGCGATTCACGTTGTGATATGCGCGTAACTTGACGTTTTGAAAGTATTAAAAATGTACTTCTTATTTTGCCTGCGTATATACCGGACAACATCTCATTGGCTTACGTAGCTTACGCTGTGAGTTGGTTGCTTGCATTCGATATTTTGTTGAAACGCTTGGAGTTGCAAGTTCTCTCGAGATTATTACGAACGATGTTTCAACATGTGTTGACAGTATTGATAATGTGTAACTCACATATATGTGAGTTACACATCATCATATACATATTCATATACATATTCATTAGCGTCAATATATTTATATCAGATGGATATAAACAAAGTATTTCAAAAGTTTGATTTAGAAAGCGGTCTTAGCAAGAGAATAATTTTTTAATTTTACTATGAAAAATTAGAAAATTGATAGAAACCCAACTATTTTTCAAGATAAGTAAAGATTTTGAGAATAAATGTTTTACCATTTGTCGGTAACTTATTGATGCACATGCATCCTTCTTAAGGTAATGTTGCTAATGCTTATTTCCACTACAAACGTAACATATTCCTACTTTATCCTGTATTCCGTTTTCCAGAAATTGAAAAGAAAAAACTTTCCTGACTTGTTGTGAGCATTCAGCGTAAACATAAAACGGTCTTAAATACAGGGTACGTTTCGTTGCATCCACATGCGTTTCATTGATGCATATAGTTTGCATCATAGACATAGTATATCTAGACTGCGCGTTCTCCCAAATTTCAAGAGTGGGGGTACAACTCTCGGAGAAAAGGAAACACTCTGTTTTTACTGTTCGTTCTCTCTCGCACAGTCCTGGTGGAAGGGAAATAGGAGCGGTGGTTACTGTACAGCAACTGTCTCCCCTATACCCCTTCCATCGGGACTGTGCGAGAGAGAACGAACAGTAAAAACAGAGCGCTTCCTTCTCTCCGAGAATTACCTCTCCACTCCTCGAACACGCAGTCTAGATAGGGCGAGAGCATAGACTTCTGCATAACGCATGATACACAACGCATAAGAGAATAAACCAATTGTTTTCTTCATTTCCCTCCTCAGGACAGAAATGAAGAACTCTGATTTGTTGATTCTTTTATGCGTTGTGTATTATGCGTTATGCAGAAGTCTGTGCTCTTGCCCTATGTCTATGGTTTACATAGAGAATCGTTCTGTTTCACTTAATGCGCGCATCGGGAGGTGTTCAATTGGACACTGCACGATTAGACACAGCCAACCGGTGCAAAGCTTTCTCTAGTGAGTTACTAGGTCCAACCAATCGTTGAGTCTGTTTTCTGGTGCTGCGCTGCTAATAAGTTAAAGTGAGAAAACATACACTTGTCTCACTTTAACTTACTGCAAAGCAGTTCAACAGGAAACAGACCCGTTATATTTTGTATCAAATTACCTTCCGCGCGCATCAGCGAGTATCGATAGCGTAGAGAATTCCCTAGGTCCCCACTACTTCTCCGCACCAACGTGCATCGTATTGCCACAGCTCAGTGAAATGCTTGATACGAAGATGATGCATACGCAATAAATACGAAAAAAAATATTATTTATATTAAAAAGTCTCTACGGGTGATTCAGCAACCATCAACACAGAATACGTTAATTCCGATTCGATATTTATTGATACGATATCTTCTATTTCATCTTCTTCGCTGTCACTGGTACAGGTAATATCCAAACTTTTTTATCGTTTATAACATTACTCATAGCATTCATTTTTTATTTGCATCAAACTCATGAATGCATGAAAAACTGTTCGGCATATCATGGACATTAACGAACGCTATCAATGTCAGCAATTGTCACAATTGAATGCGATTTATGCGTTCAATGTGTGAAACAAAAGGCACTCATATACTGTGGATGTTATTAAGCTGGTTTTCAGTCGATATATAAATTAATATAAATACCGGGCATAATTGAAGAGAGAAAAGATCAGCATTCAGTGGCTACTTTCAGAAAACACGATATTAACGATCATTATTACTAATGTGTTATTCTATCTATTGTTAT